AGTTACGTATTACTGTATTCAATGTATTATGATTAATATTGTACAGCGCCATCTATCGGTGAAAGTTTTAACTAACTTTTTACTTCTTTACTCACACACACACTCAATTCATTTTCTCAATTCTCATTGCAATTCATTTTCTGTAAAAATCTCATTTCATTTGATCCCTTTTTTACTTTCATTAAACTTTTTTAAATACTTTTTTTATAAATTTCTATTCTAAGACAACTTTATACATAAATAATTGTCTCTTGGCACTGCATAAATATTCAATGTTTTTCATTGAGGTTAACTTTCATTATAATGCGGGGTTAGTTTATTTCATCTCCGCATTATAACGAGCGAGCGCAAAACTTAAGTTAAATTTACGGAAAAAAACTGCAAAGTTGATTCCAAAGCTACATGACAGACTGCAATTTTATGCTTCATCTTCTTGCTTAGAAATGTATAAAACAGCGTCGTCTCTTGCCTTTTATTTTTTCTAAATGCGAGTGTCGTGCTCGTATGTGAATGTATTTCTCAAGAGAAAGATTTAAATTGTTGAAGAAAAAATCTGCTTTAATTTAAGAACTTAAAAACAGTTCTAACGTTATGAAGAAAGTCTTAGAAATGAATAATGTAATTTCCCCTAAAACATCATTCGCAGCGATCTGAGAAGCATATAGGAAAAAGCCTTCCAAGTAATTTATTTCGTGTAACAACGAGAAAAATTCACGGTGGGATAATAGTATTGTTTCGTTAAAATAAAAAACCCTTTAATTTCTTTAAAGCTGCTCGCTTTGAAAGATTACTTCAAACTGCAGAAATACTTATATTTATGTTTTATATGCGGCTTATATGCAGTGTGTGGGCGGTATGATAAGAAGCTTAGAGTAAGGTGTTTTAGAAACAAATTCAGGTTATCTAAGCATCTGCTTAAAAATATCTGTAAAAATGGAAATAATGTTCACTTTACTTTCGGATAATAAAACATCTCATATCTTATCGCATGATTGAAACGTATCGTTCTTTAAGTATGTTCCTAACTAATTGATGCTTAAGGAATATTTCTTGCTTCGTAAAAAAATTAATAAATATTTTAGTTAGAGATGCGCTTGGAGATTTCCAAACCTAAATTTTCCTTGTGGCAGAAAATCTAATAAACCTTCGTTGTTTTGAAAAGCAATTTTGTCTTCATTTTCATGACGAAAAGTAAAATGTTACACGTTGCTGATAATCATTTAGATAATCTTAGAACTTTTAGAATATGAAGGTGCATTTTTAGTTTCTGATGTAGCATTAAAATTAAGCTAAAGGTTTGTTTTGAAACTCATGAAAAAGATGGCTATGGACTATAAATTTTGGCTGTTCTGCTAAACATTTATAACAAGCTTATGAACCTAAGTTTCTCAAAATTAAATACAGAATTTTGTGAAAACTCTGCGTTTCAGCTCTGCGGATAAGAGGATTGTAATATTTATTAGTTACAAATTATTATAATATTTGGTCATCTTATTTAGCATACAATTAGAATAGAACTCTAAAAGACAACTTCGGAATTTTTACTGTATAAATACTGTAAGATTTCCACTGTGTAAATCTCAGTTACTGTAGAAAGGGACGAATCTTAAGGACTAGTTAGCGAATAATCGCTTAAGTTCGTGTAACAAGAAACAACAAGATGGAAGGGTAACTAACCCTTTATTATTCCAATAAGATTTAACGAAACTCCGTCTTGGAGTGACACTTGGGCTTGAACTTAAGAGACTAAGAATTAAGCTAAAACTAAGATTAACTAAAGAAATATAGCCGAAGCTATCAAGTTTCTAATGCAGCTGACCCCTTAAACACCAAATGACTGCGAAGCTTATCAAAGGCCTGAGTACGGCCGAGCGTATTAACAGCTTTGTGAGAGAGAGTGGCCAAAAAGCAGACGCGCGTAAATCAGAAACTCTGATTCTCTCTCCCTAAGACCAAAGAACTTCGCGGTTAAATACCGCTCTTCCTCATTATGTATTCAGACGTGATTCTAAAACTACGTTCTGGCCGGAAGTAGTAAGTTGAAGTTAAGAATTTGACAGGAAAGGAACTTTAACTTAAAATTTAACAGTTAATAAAATTAACGTAATCCTTACAATACCATAGAGACAGAAAAAAGCTGAAAAACGTTTTATTAATGCAAATAAAGTTAACAGACGGCACCAGCTCATGCTTAAAAAAGCCATTAGCGTTGAATAAGGAACAATCTTTAATTTAAAGCCAAAGCTAATGGTTTCTGTAAGCACGAGCTGGTGCCATCTGTTAAACTTTATTCGCCATTAGCTTTGTCTTCACATCAAAGATAATCTTCAATGACAGTATTGTGGAGTCGTGGTATCAAGAATACATTAGTTGAAATAAAAAGCACTAAACTAAGAGATGTTTCCCTTCGATCAAAATGAGATTGCTATGTCATCATTTTTTTATAAATTATAATATGTCCCAATTCCTTATTGGCCAGGGAAACTTTAAAAGTTATCTGAGCAGATTTAAGTTAGGTCCACAGACTTTTTGTGATTGCAGCGGCGGTGGCGAGGACAATGTTGACTATGACGAACCCTGGACGTCTCGAATACGTGTCGAGTATGCTTTCACAAAGTTAAACCACAAAGGCATGTGGAAAAAGAGGGAGAAAATACCTTATAAGGTTTCATGAAATTTCTTCAGCACCCAGGCATTAATCATGAAAATGAGAAATTATGTTTTGTAGTTTCTTCCTTAAGTTGGTCATAATCATTTAGTGATACTCAACAAAAATAGCTGAAATTAGTAAACTCATTCTAAAATATCTCCTTGAAACTGCTATTTTGAAAAGTTATGAAACATGTTGTATCTGGCTTGTTAAAGCTTATTTGAATGTACCGATGTATGATGTTAAATCTACGAATCTTTTATCATAAATACTGCTTCCACAAAATCATCCACATATTAAGGAAATAAAGATTTTAGCTACATTTATGGAGTACCCTGTACAGGAAAACTCATAAAAGAAGCAGAAATAAAGCCTCAGAAGATTGAAGGCTTTAAAATTTGTTTCTTTGTAAAAAATTTGTAAAAAAAGCTCAGGAGATGACTTCGAGAGAATTGAACTGAAGATATTTTACAAATAATTGATAACTATGTAGAGATATTAGGTATTTGTTTAAGCAGGAGGACATGAAATATGAGCAATGCCGGGACTCGAACCTTGACCTCTCAAATACTCGCCGAGTGGGCTAACCGTTACACCACGAAGGCATGCTGAAAGGAGGGAGAGAATAAAAGCTCTTGCCGGACTCGTACCTCGGAGCTCTCTCGAATACGCGCCGAGTGTGGTGACCACTACATCACGAAGGCATGCTAAGAAGGCGGGAGAAATTACCTTATAACTATAATGGTATTAATAATAATAATTTAATATATTTAATTAGTTGAATTAAATTAATTAATAAAATTAATATATTTAATGATAATAATATATTTTCAAAACTGAAGAGCGTTTTTATAACCCAGTTTGTAAATCAAGTTCTAATCGTAAAAAACTGATATTGTGGTCAACATTAAACGCCAATTTTGAAGATATTTGGTGAGGGCTAATGAATTTATAGGAAAATGTTATTAATAACGTATCCAAGATCTAAGAACAACGGAATTGTTGCAGGTAAGAGAAGGGAGAAGCAGAAGTCAGAAGATTTCATCTTCTGACTTCTAATAGACTTAAATATCCAAAAATTCATTATTAACAAACGCAGATAACGTTGATATATTCTCCACGTTTTATTCTAAGGTTCTTAAATTCTACTATGAGATAAAAGTCGATATCTTTAATTCTAACATGAGGAAACGAAATACCTTTTAATAATTTTTATATTTAGAGAAATATTTAGTTGCATATAAATAGCGAATAGCTGTAAACATCAAACATATCAGAAAAATTAGAGTTTTTGGAAAGAACCTGAAACGGTATTACTAAAGGAAAAGTAACGTAAATGCATTTCATATTTACAACTTAACGGATATTTCACCCATTTTTAGAAAATTAAAATCAAACTTGTGAAAATTTATATCGGAATTTCCCGTGTAAGTGGAATTATTTGAGGCACAACATTTACTCCAAATTAAGCTTAAGCAATATCATATACCCAGCATTATATTGGCTTTAATTTCACAGGTGAAAACAAACTTGTTCCTTTTCCTCAGTAATAAAAACTGTTTTATGTTTGTTAACGTCTAAGAAGATCAGGTTAGTGCTACTGTTGTATATAGTGGTAATGTTTGTGCTAATAATATATAATAATATAATATACAATAATTGTAATATTATATATTGTATAATAGTATAATATGCAACAATTGTAATATTATATATCTTACATAATAACATACTATTAAATTTTCCATTGAGGTCACACCATTTTCTGTTATGTTGAGGTTATTTGTTTCGAAAATATACTTGGAGAATATCTCCCATACCAAAGATATCTTCGCGAAATACGTTTTGAGAAAAACTTGCCTGCATTCTAATTACACGTCTGGAAAAACCACGAAACGGCAGTAGGTAGCAATACCATTTGGCATTTGCAAACGGAATCTTAGTATTAAACTGATAAGAAATAATTTTAAGTCCCCTCCTCAGACAAAAAATGATATACAAGCAGAAGATTGTAAAATTAATGTGATCATATGTTAACCCTGGGAGACAGGATCTAAACTCTTTAGGACTGTTAAGTATGGCGTTCAAACAAGTATGTCTGAAAATGTGTTTTATGTGTAAAATAACTTTAACGCGAATTAGAATATTCAACAGGATTTTTAAAAACTGTTTAGGAAAGCTTATTAAATATTCGGAAAAGTGTGTTTGTGCTCGATATTCATATTCAGCATGGAAGGAAACAGCTTCGAAAAATTTTACTGAATATTTACAAGTTTATTAAAATGTAGAATTAAAATAATGCTGAAAATTTATACACTAAGACCATATTCAAGATTTCTCTTACTTTCAGGTTTAGTAAAGCTCGGAGTTCATTGTGTGACAGGAAAAAAAGTAGCCGTTAAAATCATCAATCGAGAAAAACTTAGTGAATCTGTTCTTCAAAAGGTGAGTAATAATTTATAAATTATTTTGTATTATAATTCTCGAAAATTTCAGTGGATAAGATTAAAATTAAAAAATAAGAGAAGAATTATCCAAATGTGTTGAAATCTCAGATAGACCCCTTCATAAACAACATGCAAGAAAAACAAATAAAAACTTAACTCTACTAATCCAGGATACAATTTTAGAATACAAATGATTCGTTCTTTAGATTGATAATATTGTTCGTGTGTTATAGAATATCCTATTTCTTCTACTACAGACTAAATAAGACTTCACTTATAGTTTAGGATAAAATTTAAAAAATAGAATTATACCGCAGTGTCTGATGAGAGTATGGTTCTGATTAGAATTTATTTGATTTTGATTAGAATGAAAGATAATCAACCTAATTAAATATTTATTATAGTACAGAAATTTTTATTATTACTATAGCAATGGTATAGAAGAAAAAAGTCAGAAAATGTCAGTAATACATTGTTACCTATTGTTTTAAAGTAAATCAGTGACCAGCATGGTGGATGGGAGCCAAAACGGAAACCACTCAATTATACAATGCTGTTATAATTTGCTGTCGTCATGCAATTTATACATACGATAATTATCTGTGCAGTTTATTTAGCATTAAGTAGTATAATTAAGCTCCTTTCTCTAGTTATACAATTTCATTAATCAAAATACTCGATTACCCCCATCAAATTTCAGAACTAAAAAACCAGCAAAACAAGTTAGGTTTTATATTTGACTAAATAAGGTATATCTAATTTACACCTAGATTCTATTTTGCTGGTCATGATTTTAATGTTCACTACAATTAACACATTCTAGCTTTGTTCGACCTAAATCACGGAGCAAGTGTTTCTATGGGACAGGTATACTTCTTTAATTTATATCCAAAATAATCAAACTGATTTAATGATTTTAATATAAAATTTAAAAATGCAAAGATTATGATTTAAATGCTATTTCAAAAAGGTGTTTTTGTCGGAGTTCGGACTTTTTGTATAACTAAAGTATTTAAAAAATACATCGCTGTAATAATAATGTTTCATTACCTATATCAAACTAAAGATACAAATGGCAATTTTATTTAATTGTTCATTCATGTCCAAAGAACATATAAGAAGAAACCTACATATTATTATTTTATTATAGGTTAAATGTTCACTGCATATTGTTATAGGTTCAATGCATATTCTTTTAGTTTCGCTATATGCTTCTTTATTCGACACTTTACTATGGTTAAGATTCTAACTTGTAAACTAGACATGCCCGAGGGATCCTAAATCCATTTTTACTTCCTTGTACGAAGTAAAGCAAGTCTTGTAATCGAGAAAAATTTCGTGCATCATATTTCAATGAAAATAATTTCAACCGCTCTCCAAATCATTTGAACGATGTTTTTGCGTGTAAGTATGGAGAGAATGAAGGACTGTTTTTGCCAAAAAAGGATTGGAAAATGGATTCAGAAGAGATTTTGCTCTTGATATTTGTACGTACGTACGTACTATGTACTTTCTCGCATATCTGAAGAAAGAGTAGCCGCAGAATGTCGAAAACGTTGAAATTTTGTATATGGTACTGCTATAACATGTAATTGTGTAAATCTCTTTTTTGTTGCAACTAGTTATATATAAATTTAAACAAATTTAAATTCTTAACAAATACGTATAAAAGTAAAAAAGTAAAAAAGCAAATTTAAATTCTAAAAAAAGAAAAAAGCCAAAATAATTTAAAATAATTTTAAAATATGCAAACATGTAAAAGATTTAATTCTCGAACTAATCTACAATATCATTTAAATTCAGAAGCATAAGCAAATCAAGTGCAAAATCTATCCATGAAAATAAATCTACTAATTTAATAAATTAAAATTAAATTAAACAATTTTTTTAAAAAATGCATATGTGAATGATCGTAGAGTAAGCAGGAGACAGACTTATCAAGGGGAAGTTGCCTCCAAACCTAACTCTCCAATCATTCAATTCGTGTTTCGTCATTCATGCAGGCAAGGGTAAAAGTCAAAACCAAAAGTAATTCCAATAAAGTGGTACCCTTAGAATTTAACATTTAAGTATTAACATTTAAGAATTAAAGTTCAAAAAGGAAAATACTAATTAAGTCTTTTGAGAAACAAGCAAGCAAAGTCAAGAATTAAACTTTTTCTTAAAAAATTAAATTTTTTAAAATTAATTTTTTATTAAATAATAAAAAAATCTAGAAACCAATGTATTTTAGAAATCCTTGTCTACAGAAACTTCCCCTACACGAATATGCATATCAATAAAAAGAAACTATAAAAAACTATACATAATCCATATAAACCAATAAGAAATAAAAAACAAAAAGAAACAAAAAGAACTAATTCACAATTTTTAAAATAAATATATATTTAAAAATGTAATTTCATATTTAGAAAATACTTAGATACTACATAAAAAATTAAAAAAAAATACTTAAAGCAAGTAAATAGTAAGTTTTAGTTCTAACTTACCTACTATATGAGTGTTGGGGTGTGCAAAAGTGTTGTGAAAGAGAAGTAAGTGTGTTCTTCAAATTATATAGATGGCGCTTATGTAGGTAAAGTTGAGTGTCAAGCTGCTATCTTTGTTATAGTAAAAAATTTTTTGTAAATATTAATATTAATTAAGTCAAATTAAATTAAAAATCCTAAAGGTAGTAATATCAATTATTTAGGGAGTTAAGTAACTGAGCCAATCAAGAGATATATGTTTGCTTGAAGGAAATTAAAGTAAAGTGGTATGTGAAAAAAATGTAAACTGTTTGTAATTTGTTCTGTAATAACTGTAAAAATGTGTGTTCTGTTGAAAAATTGTGAAAATTGTTAAAAAATTAAGTGAAAGATAGTTTGTGTGAAAATTGCAAAAAATTAAAGTAATTAAGAAAAACTGAAATGTTTTAATATTAAAGTTTTAAAGGAAAATTTCCCAAAATTTTTTTGAAATGAAGTCCTTAAAAAACCTCTAAAAATTTCCAGAAATTTCTCAAAAATTTATTTAGGAAGTTAAATAAAACTTAAATTTGATGAAAGAAAATATTATAAGTTTAAAATGAACTTGATTTAATTGGTATATCAAAAAACTAAATACTGGCTAAAGTATGGAAAATTAGAAGAAGAAAATTAAAACCTTCACTCAATTCGGGCTATAATTGAGACTTATATATAAATATATACATGTTATATTATATGTACATATATTCCCACTCTGATACCTGGCTCGGTTAGCTTAGCTTTTTATTCTTATATGTTGGTAAATTGTGCATTTTTTCGCTTTAAAAGTTACTGAATCACGTGATTTTATGTTCCGGCTAATGGTTTTATGACTTTAGTTAATATGCATGCAGTAGTTGTTGAATTATCAACAATTTAAAAGTGAAGGTGGCGAGTTTATGCCTAACGAATCGCCATTTGTTTACATTTAAAACTCAGTAGAATAGCGAATTATGTCAGTTTCTACACCTTCAGTGTCTTTTTGCCGAGACAAAAAGTAAACTTTCAGTTTGTGCACCGAAAAATCTGCCTTCTTGCCCGCTAGCCGAATTGCTCGTTTTTGAGTAGAAACTCTAATTTTTTTTAACTGTTTTAACTGTATTTGTTTTTTATGCTTTTCTACATTTTTCAAATTTTAACGAAGATGTTTTGAGTTTTTATGCATTTTTGCCTTGCCGTGAAGTGAGAAATGAATTAATTTAATGAGAAATATATCTCTAGTGAAACTCGAGGAAATAAGTGCAGCAAAAAATGTGTATAATTTAATAAGCCATACAAAAAAGTCACGTGGTGTCCACATCAGTGACACCACGTGACTTTTTTATATTTAAGTTTCTACTTTTTTAATGATGAAGGGTAATACATAGGTTCTGAGTGAATAGATGGGTATACTAATTTTGTTAGTAAATAAATCTGAGTGTCGGAAAAGTACATGTTTTTAGAAACTAACAATGCAATGTTATGTCTTTCATTAATTTATAAAAAAGTTAACACTACTAGAAACTGTGTTAAGTATGCAAACAGTTCAGTGTAATAACTTCATTAATTTATAAAAAAGTTAACACTACTAGAAAGTGTGTTAAGTATGCAAACAGTTCAGTGTAATAACTGTATGCATCAATAAATAAATTCCTACATTAAGTGATTAATTGTAATTATAGGTAGTTAAATAACAGTGTAAGGAGTTAAATTTCTTGTGACGAATTATATGATTTATTTTCACAATTTGTGAGTACAGTCATAAAGTCCCAGAGCTATTACATATATTATTGAGAACAAATTTTTCAAAAATTTGCGTCCATATATCCATGTATATACACTTTCACATATTATTCAGTGTTTGAGATGTAAAAGAAGCTCATGTTTTGATGTGAAAACGTTTTTCAATTTTAGACATGTAATTTCACTATGGAGGTATTAAATACTCTGTGACATAATATCTGATTACCAATACTGGTTGCCCCTACTTAATATAAGGCATTGGATGCATATCTTATTTATTAAATAATATTATAAATGTTCATAATCATCAATTAGATACAATTAATTAAATGTATTTTAAATTAGATTAATTAGATATACTATTAAAAAACTAAAACAAAGATTTAAATTTTTAAAAAATTTGTTTTTTAATTGTTCAAATTTTTAAGAATTTATAATTTAGAAAATTAAAAATATATAATTTTTTTTAAATTTATAATTTAGAAAATTAAAATATATAATAAATATAATACATTTAATAAGATGTTCAATGTTTGAAGTGTAAAAGGGGCTGATGTTTTGAAGTGAAATCTTTTTTAATTTTCCATATGCATTTTTACTAAAGAGATATTAAAGTTCTGTGACTTGATATCTGCTTAACAAAAACGTAATAATTGCCCCAAGGTACATAATACATGGTGTTAGAAACATATCTTATTTATTACAATGATATTAAAATTATATAATGATAAATTAGCTGTAATAAATTAAACGTATCTTAAATTATGTT